ATCGCCAGGGATGTGCGGCTGCCGGGAAGCGTGCCTTCATCCGAGCCTCCGCTTGGGTAAAACGGGCTTTGGAGGTGACGCAGCACCACCAGCTTCTGGCCGCTTGTTCCCACCCCTCCACCTTCCTGCCTTGCTCTCACACATCCTGCCTACACCGCTGCTCTGTGAGCCGGGTCAGGATGCCAACCTCAGATTTAAAAAAGAACAGCAGAAAACTTGCAGCTGACAGGGATTATTTTTAACCTGGAGTCACGGCTGGTCTGGGTTATGAGGCAGACATGCACGGTTGTATCCACACACCAGCAGCACTGGCAGGCAGAGCAGGCAGGACCGGGGCGCTGGGCAGGAGCTGCTTAAGCTGGTGCTGCAGGCCACTTGTGATCCAGCTTAAGGCAAGAGACAAATGGGGGCAGACACAGGGTACGGCAGGATTGCTGACCGTGGAAAGCAGTGGCTGCAGCACGCCAGCGGCTCACAGTCAGCGTTTTGTCAGGATACCCTGGCGGAATGATCCTCATGAGAACAATACAAATTTTGTGGATGTTAAGATAAAACGTGCCAACCTTCAGCTTCATCACCATCTTGTAACAGCATCTCTTTCATGGAAATCCCTCCCATTTTCCTTAAAAAAGACGAGCTGCTTAGCTGGTGCTGCAGGCCACTTGTGATCCAGCTTAAGGCAAGAGACAAATGGGGGCAGACACAGGGTACGGCAGGATTGCTGACCGTGGAAAGCAGTGGCTGCAGCACGCCAGCGGCTCACAGTCAGCGTTTTGTCAGGATACCCTGGCGGAATGATCCTCATGAGAACAATACAAATTTTGTGGATGTTAAGATAAAACGTGCCAACCTTCAGCTTCATCACCATCTTGTAACAGCATCTCTTTCATGGAAATCCCTCCCATTTTCCTTAAAAAAGACCTCTGGTGCTAAATGCAGAAAACCTGCATTCAGGTGGGGTGGAAGCTGCACAATTAACATCACAACAACCAGGAAATGCAGCGATGGCCAAGGAGCTCCAGGCAGCACGGCTGTCACCCAGGCCTTGCCTTTCCTGACTCTGTTAATCCTTCACCTCCAGCAGAAGTTTTCCAGACTTTGCTGGCAGTGTGTTACCGCCTGTACTGGGGCTCGTCCTGTAAAACAGGGGCTGTGCCAAGGCAAAGCTGCTGCTGCTGTCGGACTCTCACCCACCCTGCCTGGGGACACGGCTTTGCTGTCCCTGTGCAGTCTCCGTGCTCCATCAGCGGTGCTCTGTCGCACCTCAACACAGCTGGAACCCCTCTCGTCATTTTTATTCTTAAGCCCTGGCAGGAGCCCCTCTCATTCCCCCCCCACCGCTCCCCATCGCAGCATTTGGCTGCAGCTGTACCGCGCTGGCCGTGGGGGGTCACTGAGGGTATTCGGTATGGGTTACCTGACTGTCGAGCGCCTGTTCCCAACGCCACGGTTGCAGGAGAGCAGTTTTACCACTCACAGCCCGCTGTTACTGCTTGCGCGGTAACTGGCTGCATCACCTCCCATCTGACCGGGGGACCAGTGCGCGAGGGCACACTCTGCATCAAGGCACGCTGGAGGACGGCAGCTTGCAAGGCCCTGGGGCCGCAGGCTGGTCATCGCAACCCCCCCCGGCTGCCTTGCGTGGTGTCCCACCGGTGACGCCCGGGCTCGGAGCAGAGCTGGGCCTGCTGCCGGGCTTCCACTTCCCGGGAGAAACGGTGCCATTCCGGGAGGCAGTGTCAGCAGAGGGACGGTCCCCAAAATGCACAGCGGGCAGGAGCAGCGCGCCAGATGGACGGCTGCCTTCTGCCGGGGTGTTGGGTTTGCATGTGTGGGTCTCTGGCTTCCACGGGTCCCCAGGGCCTCCGGGTGCTGCCAGCAGTCTCATTTCCCAGCATCACAGAAGCGCTTACATTTGCTTTTCACTTTAAAAGCGTGTAAGCAGACAGAAGGTCATGAACTGGAAACCCACAGCTTCCTGCACCCGTCACCCCAGCCTGTTGCACCGTTCCCTCCAGACCCCATTCTGCTGAACAGGGAAGGCTCCGCCTGCAGAGCCTGAGGTTTGTTCGGAAAGGGGATGGGAGCCACAGGCATTTGCTGGTGAATGGCACGGCAGCTTTGCAATTAAAATGAACGTTGAGAAGCCCATGTGCCCACGAGTCAGACCACTGGCTCCTCAATGGCAGGTCACAGCATCTTACAAAGGGAGACACTGATCAGTACAGAAGAGACCATGGCTACTGAAATGTCCAGATTCTTAGCCCGGGTTCCAAATGAGAGGCATGCTGCCAGGAGGAATGGGTAGCAAGGGCCAGCGGGGGGGCAAAAGCCTGACCCGCTGCTCAGTGGCTGCGGCAGGCGCTGTGGAATGCTGTCCCGCGGCTGCTACCACCCTCTTGCAGCGTTCTCGCAGTAGTCGCACTGCCTCCGCGCTGCTTGCCCAAGGAAGGGGGCACCTTTCCCAGAGCCGCCCGTCTGCGCCTTCGCTCGCTCCAGCGTGGCACTTCATCCCCGCAGCCGCCCCCCGGCCAGCACCGCGCTCCAGCCGGCAAGAGCGGCAGAACGTAATCGCCCACGATCTTCACCGTGGCGTGGCTGGGCCTGGCGTGCATTCCCCGGCCAGCTCTGCCGTCCCCTCCGTGAGGGCTGAAGAGCGGGCCGGGCAAGAGGGAATCTCTCTCAGACCCTGCGTCTGGCAGCAATGCCTGTAGTGGGTAGCGGCGCGGGGTCCACCCTCCAGCTCACGACTGGAACTACTTATGTGCCTGATGCCCAAGTCTGGACCTGCGGTCCTGCAGTGCAAATCCATACATTCTGCTGCCAGTGCTTGACTTCTTGGTTGCATTTTAATCCTGTCTCACTCACGTGATGCTTTTGGAGACAATTCTTCCCTCTCAGAGGGAAAGCATCTCCTCTAGTCATGAGATCTGAGAGTACAAACACATGGTACCGAATTCTTCCAGTCTTGCCCTTTCTGCCACTGGCTTCCACGCAGCAGACATCACTGGGGATGAACTTAGAAGTGCCAGCTTTACAAAGGCTTGGGAAAATTATATTTATTGCACAAGTACAAGAAGTATAGAGCTGGAAATGACTTCCCGGGTTACAGATTCCTGTTTCCAGCTATGACTTGCAACCACACTGTGTAATTTTTCTAATAAATTAGCCAAGTTCCCCTTTAAAAATATTTCTGAGACTTCTCCCTGTTGCACATTTTAGAAGGCCGCTGCAGAGGCACACTAAGCTAGAGCGATCCCCGACTCCCAGGGACTTTTTCCTGTGCTTGCAAGGAAAACGGCCCCTCCGAACATTCTTTGCCTTTTAGAAATTAACCTTTGAATTAATGCTTTAGATACACAGGCAACCAGCTCTGCAAGAAGTATTCCAAACTTCAGAAGTGGTCTTCATACTTGACTGTTTCCTCACAGGAACACATCCCTGGGCAGAGCGCCTCGGGCTCTCGCCGTGCCTATGGGTGCATTGCCGCGTGCGCAGCCGTCCTGTGAGCAACTGACACGCACCGCTGTGGTCCTCGGTGCTCCCAGCTGACGAGCAGGAATCCCACAAACAGCACAGCAGAAGTTCTGGCTACTGCTCAAGTGCCAGCACTTTGATTGACTCCAGCCCTCAAAGGAATCCCATCGTCCCGTACCCTTTTCCAAATGGTGTCTGTACTGAAGAAGCCTCTCAGTGGCGTGAAAAATGTAATCAGAACAATTTTACTTTTATACCCAAAGTCATTAAAGCATAAAGGTATCAGCAATCCCTAGACTGACGATAGGGGAAACTCCACCAGTAAGTTCTCCTGCTTTTCAGTTCTGCTGGGAGCACCATTCCTTTTCTCTTTAGCTCCTGCTTTATCTCAAATGTGCACTACAGCCATTTCGTGCAGCGGGACAGCCGTGGGCCTGGGTGGTACCGCCCGACTGCTCGCTAAAGCCCAGGGAAAGCACCCGAACGGCTGCGGTTTTCTTCATTTGGGGGTTTGCTCACCTAAGGCAGTGGATCTTACAGATAGCACTACCACCCTAACCTGGCAAGACCTATCCGGAACGTGCATGGAATTTTTCTGAAATTAGGCCCCCATTTTCTGTGGCCCAGCCACTGTGTACGCGACTGCAAGCAAATGCAAGGTCAGCATGAGGAACTTCCGCAGAATGGATGCAAGTACGCTCCTCGCGCAGGTCTGTCTGCGCCAGCTGCAGCACGCTACGGCATAAAGCTTCTCTGCACCCGCCTGCGTGCCTTCCCCCTAAGGAACGGTCTGGCTCCTCCAGCTTCAGCTGCGCATTCCTGATCCCTCCCTTGCTCTCCTCCCATCACCATCAAAGGGGGTTCTCTGTGTTCCGAGGTGGGTGTGTTCGCAAATGGCTACAAGAACAGAAATATGTTGGTGCTTGCCCGGTGTTCTCTGCCTTTTATGTTCCAAATGCTCCCCAGGCCAGATGGTCTGATCAAACATTTCTCGCTAGAACAGGGGCCCTCGCTGCAAAAACACATCTCCCTGCATCTTAAAATGCGATGCCCTGGAATCCCTGGCTCATCACAGTCAAGCTGAAAATGCCGTGCAAGTACGCGAACATCAGACGCTGGGCAAAACTCCTCTGCGCTCGACCTCGTGTTACCACCTCTTCCTCAGAGAAGCAATAACAAAGCACGCTGCAAGGGAACACAGAAGTCTAATGAATGCCAAGTGTCAACACCACCCTTAGCCCTCTCCCAGGCACAAGTGACCATAAGGATAACCCATCCAAACGAGCAGCATATACAACTGTACAAAGACATACGTATGGTTCTCTGGTCAGCCCTTATAAATAGCGCTTTACATATTAAAATAAATATGTCCACGTTGCCAAAGTAGCAAGAGGTTTCTTCGTTATTTAAAAAAAATATGTTACAAAACAATATCATTTCTATTTCTTGCTTAGTTTAAAAAAAGTAATAAAAAAGTCATTTTATAAAATAATACGGAAGTAAATGGAGTACAAGAGCGTCCATCCCTAGCACGTGTCCTGGGTCTGTATGTTAGACTCGCCGTGAGACGCTGACCTCCAAGAAGTCGTGTCTTCGTTCCTTCACTTCTGGTTGGACAAAAGAAATCCAGTGCTTGCTTTTTTCACCACTTGTATCAAGTCTATGATGTAAAATTCATGGCAAGGGAAGAAGTCCTAGATGTGGGCAAGGTTCTCATGGCGACTATTTATGGCTTTGCTACTCCCCGTATCAGATTGCCTTGTGTAACGCAGGAAGAGGATCTGAATGGCCAGAACTGAGCCCTGGAGTTTGGAGGTAACGAGTTCCAGTCAAATACTGTAAGCAAGGAATTGCTTTTTTTTTTTTTCCTTTTCTTGACACATCCTAAGTGTGCAAGAGTGTGGGAGCACGTGGGTGTGCACAGGTTTGAGCATGCATGGGTGTGAGCGTGCATCAGCCTGCACGAGCGTAAGGAAGAAGATTAGAAAGTGTGGGAGAAGGGCTTAGAGTCTCCTCCTGACCTCATCTCTCTGCCCCTCTGAGACCCCTTCCTAGTTACCACTGCTGAGCATCCCCAGAAGTTTACTGGGCTCCAGGCCCTGTTGCTGTGCCATCTTCTGAACGTCAAAACCCATGTGCATGAGGAACTGGATCACGTTCATCTCCTGCCCTGTGAACTGGTCCCTGATAGTGGGGCACGAGGGGTTGCAGTGAGGCCACGGGCAGCTGTCAATCAGATGAATTGGGCAGCCTTTCAGAGGGGCCTTCCCATTTTTGTTGCTCTCATGCAGGCTCCGATCCCAACAGTGCAGGGCACGGGGTAACGATGTCCCCTTCACCTGGATGTCTGTCCAGTGACTGAAAAGACAAACCGAACGGATTGTATCAGCGGGGTCAGGCTGTCAGGACTGGTTAATTCCCCTACTGATTCCCCGTTGACCCTTCATAGAATCTGCAAAAGCACTCACTTGCGTGTAATGATCTCATGAGACAAACAGGCAGGAGCAAAGCTAGCGCTGAAGGAAGGAAGGAAACATGGATTAGGCCTTGGAAGGACAAAGTAACTCCTGCTAAACAGAACCTTCTGGACTAGGTGGAGGGTGGAATCTTTGCTGCCCCTGGCAAGAATTTTAGAAACAGCAATGACTACCACGATATGAAACCCGGCTGGACTGCAGAGTATCCAGAAGAAACGGGGTTCCACCCCGCCTAACAGCGCACACTTGAGACACGAGATGCCTGAACACCCGCTCGTGTGTGAAGCAGGTAAGGCACAGGGATGGTTCCTCCTCTGCTGTCCCATCAACTCTGGGCGCTTTATGATCAGGACTTTTCGGAACATCCCTGTGAGGATAATGGCTGTGTAATGGCAAGGAGCCTCAGACCTCACCTCGGAGGCAGGAAAGCAAAAACCACATTCCTATCGATAACAAAGGGTGGCTGGTAATTGTGAAGCTGGGAATTATTTTGCACTTATCCAGAAATTAAAAAGCCAAGATTCTTGATGTCGACAAACTAAGGAGTCACCAAATGTACAGCACTCGTTGCTGCAGAGCTCTGAGAAATGCTCTTAGGATACTGGGTAAGAACATCTCTTAGAAATCAATGTGCCAGGTTTTCCTCGATGAAATACTTACGTCACGTCCTTCAAAGTGTTTCTCAGCTCCCTACCCAAATTCTGGATGTAGAGCCACTGCCCCTCCTGAACAGGCTGGCCAGTGAGGTGCACGTTGTCTACGGTAAGCTGGGCCTCATCAAAGAGCCACTGGACAACAAAGACTGGACCTGGGAAGACAAAAAAATTTGGAAAAGGGATTGCTCTAAGTTGGCTGCGGATACAGAGGAAATCCTAAAATCCATTTTGTATCTCTCCTGATACTTACATCGCAGGGTGGGGTAAATCTTATACCCAAAGAAGCAATTCCATTCCTCTCCCTCTTTAAACTGCAGCTTACAGCGTTCAGGAACGATGCCATTCCAGTACCTCGAAGACAAAGCAGTAACAGAACGGAAGGTACAGCGCAATCTTAACAACGGCCTTTCCATATCCCAGTCTATTTCTGTTCTGATCATACTTCCAACTTATTGACACCAGAGTTCGTTCTTGGCTACCTTGTCCCATCAACACATTTTAGAGCATCTACAATTGCACGCATTCTTCCGCATGTCTAGATTTTAAATTGTTGTCTTTTCCAACAAAATCATTGAAAAACTGCTGCTGTAGATGATAAACACTCTTCAAGCATCAAAATGAAGGGAGATGGAGAAGAAGGGCATCTCCTCCACACTATAACCTCTTATAAAAGCGTACATTAGAGCATCCGACCGTACCTTATTCCTCTCCTGATGGCTTCTGTCGGAGCACATGTTATGGTGTCAATACAGTCAGTCCTGCGATACTGTTTATTATCCAGGAACCATCCGGAGTCTGCCAAGCCTCGGACCTGAATCCCTTGATAACCCATCTCCTCCAGCTGCTCGGCCACTCGGTCCACGTTCAGGAGCACGCCTGTCCCTCCAGCACTGCAACGGCAACGTCGATACTGCAGTCGTGAAGCACACACAGGTATTGAAGGGCTGGCTCGCGTCCGCACCCTCCTACAGCAGCGACGCTCTATAAACAACTTCATCCATCGGCAGGACAATCCGCTACTAACCTGGCAGTCACCCAGCTCTTTCCTCGCTTTGCAGAATGCCCAGAAACAAAGCCAGTGCTGAGCAACGGTCTGATACCTCGGGAACCAAATCCTGGTCTCACTCTTTCTTCTGGGAGATTTATACGCGCTGTGTCGTTTGCAGGGGGTTTGGCTGCTCAAAGGCCAAGCGAGGCAACTGCGCCCTTCCCAACCTCTACACGACACCCCTGCGTAACACGTGCTGAGCATGCCATGGCTGTGTGCAACGCAGCACGGCTCGGAGCACCCGCATCAGGGGGCTGGCTTTAATTCAGGTGTTCCGAATCTATTCACAGGAGGCACGTGCCTCATGGTGTGGGCCAACAGGAGGCAGCATTCCTGATGCAGGGAAGAAGGAACGCGTTCCCTCCCTCCTGCAAAGCTTTTCCCTTCTTGTTATTTTCTCCGTTGTCTCCCAAGCGTTCCTGGACCAAAAGCTGAGGGAACAATACCGTATTGTCCCCTGTTGCACCACTGACAGAAGAAAAGTGGGAAGGGATACCGGGTGTGCTGAGTTAGCATTACTGTACTCCTAGAAGGAATTTTCAGGAGCGGCTGCGACCTCCTCCCTCACAGCTTTCTACTGTGGAACTCTCTTGTCTTGACCACAGGAACTGCTGTTGATACCTACCTGCTCCCCGCTAGCAGCAACACCTTTGCAGTGCCAAGACCTTTTCCCACCAGCTCCTTTATAACCTCCTGAATGATCAGCGCTCCCATGAAGGCGTATTCATCTGGAAGAGACAGATCAGTGTCAATGGATCTGTTCCTGTCCAGGCTAAGAGTTTTGCTTCCCCTCCACAAATGCTTAAGAACCTCATGAAGGGACCGTGAACCCGAAACCAGGCCCATTTTCCCCACCTGTATCAAGCACATGTAGCAAGACACCCTCCCCCCCCTCCAGCAAACGCGCTTCCCTGAAAGAGAGTGAGTAGAGAGTGAAGGGAATATACAGAAACACAAGCACATCTCCCTAAACAGTGCTTAGGAATCGGTAAACTTAGAGAAGGGAGACAAGAGGGAAGGCACTGGGACCCCTTCCCTGTACATGAGGAACACACACACCTTCCTCCACCTGGAGCCTCAGTTCCCACTTACCGCACCCCTTTTTGCCCCCAATTCATAAAGCCAATTCAGGCACGCAACGTTTCGCAGAACGTTACAGCTACACAGGCCGCTGCTTCCTCAGCAGCCGCGTCTGCTGAAGCCTAACTGCTCCGTAGGAACAACTCTAAGGAGCTACGATGAAGTGACAAGGTCCCCTACTGTGACAGAACGTGCATCTGTGGTAGCCACGAGCCGTCAGCTTCCCAGTCCAAGAGTCAGTGCAGAGAGACACGGAGTGACCCAGCGCCGGGGTTGAGGGCAGAGCTCACAGACCAACTCGAACAAAAGCATTAACCTTCCGCCTTTTCGGTGCCGCATCACGGAGCACCTTAGGCCAAATTCCCTTGCTTACAGCAGCGTCTACCAACAGCCATTCCATTCTGGCCAAAGAAAGCTCTTCCTGAGCAAACGAGAGGGGAACTAAGCCCCTGGTGCTTCCATAGACATCGCTGCACCCAGACACCCAGGGAGACCCAGGGAAGTACGAAAGGCAGAACAGCTCCTCTGCATGAAACCCAGCTTAGTCTGGGACAGGACTGCTTTCAGCAGGCGCCCAGGGTTCCTTCATCATCGGAACGGCAGCTGACAGCAATGCATGTATTGAGATGAACTGTTCTTCGTCTCCCAAAGAAACCTGCTGACAGCCTTAGCCTGACACATGACAGCTCCTCTCAAAGGCCAGATCACCTCCTGACAGAAGTCCGAAACTAAATTCATGGTGCTTGCTCTCAGATCAGCAAAGCCAAAGTCGCATGCAACAAACCACGGTTCCTCAGCTGCACCATTTAATTTGCTGCGTGCTGGAACCTGGGGATTCATCTGAAAGGAATTCCGTTCCTCTAATCCCCGCATACTGCATCAGTGTAACATCTCTGCAAGCAGCGGCTCTGAACTATGTCAAAACAGCCTGAGCTAAAGAGATCAGGATGTTTTATCTGGAAGTAGCTTGATATTCTTTCCTGCCCTTCAGCAAGAAAAAGCCTGTTCTTCATTCACGCCATTTCACAGAAGTCTGGCCACATCCCTTAATGTGCGATGTCTGGGGCAGCAACGGCCCATCAGCAACACTCACTTTTCTCGGACTTGGAAGAGGCACCGCTCCAAACATCACTTGAGCAATAAGGGATGAATCTGTAAGAGAGGGCTGCGTGAGCACTGACGGTCCTTTGACATGCAAGCAGGGGTGAGGGCAGGGTCAAGTAGCTGGAAGAAAATTAAACCCCGAGGAGGGGAAAGGGAAGATCTTCTTGTCCCGTGGGACAACTTACCTTCTGGCACACCAAGTGACAATTACAACTCTCTTGTGTTTCCTCCTGAACACTGGTAGTTATACTGAGTTAAATCAATAAATAATGCGTCTTCTATCAATCTAACTGAAGCACTGAGCTCAGCGGACAGAACGATGGGCCAAGATTTTGTTCTTAGCTGTCCCACTGATAGGGTGGGCCTGCCACAAGGAAACCCCCTGTGCTGCAGCCTCTCACAAGACAAGTGGGAAGACCTTGCCAACGCAGCGTGTGTGCTGACTGCAGCCACTGGAGGGTTTTGCAGGCATGAACTTATCTTCCCATTTTTGTCTCCGGCTTGCAGAATGCAAATTAACTTCCCTCTCTCCCGCTTCTCCCTCCTGTATAGAGGCGTACATAAACTGGCCTCCGCCTCATTTCTCTTCCCTGAGCTGGAAGAGCCGCTCCAGGCTCCTCTCAGACCGGCAGATGTGTACCGCAGTACCAGCCCACCGCTCACAACCCTGTCCGCCACTTTGGCTACTTGAGAAAGCTCTCTAAGCCATCCCCAGCTAACGAAGCTCTCCCCTTCGTTAGATCACCCCACGACCCTGAGGAGCCTGGGCTGAAGTTTCTGCAGACCCCATCAGCGCTGCCTGCTGGAGCTGCATGAGAGCAAACGAGGCAGCACACAGTTCCCTCCCGCAAGTGTCGGTCTGCCTCCGTCGCGTTCCTGCTAGCCTAAGCGGCAGGAGATGCTCTTTATGTATAACCCTATTCCCGTGTCGTCCCTCCTTACACCATGTTTGCATTCCACCAGTGGGGATTTTCTTCTGGTTGTGACGACAGGATCCCAGTTCCTGCAGATGGGCACAAAGAGACAAGACACGTACAGGTGACAGCCTGTGACTTCAGAGAAACCCTATGAGCTTCACGCGGGGTCTCTGACCATGCGGAAAACAAACACCCATGATGAAAAACATCGGTAGGGAACATTTCTAAACTTGTCCTCAGGCAGATGTGACCTTCAGAATTTGGTTTGTGCCAGAGATGAAGACTGCCTAGAAGCCTCTTCTCTTACAGAAAGGAACCTGTGGCACATACTTAAAATTAAGCACTTTCCCAAGAAACCAAACCCTAGCAGGTGAATTCCAATCTATGTAAGATCTGCGTGAGTGACAGAGGTTTCAGTATCCAGAAAGCTGGACCATGAGCAGCAAGAACGAAGAGAGCAGCTCAACATTTCCGTGCCAACTCAGGAGCCCGGTGGTCCAGCGCGTGGGTACCCAGGGGGCTAATCCAGCCTCACGCATGACGCTGAAGGCGCTACAAATACTTGACACGTGCACCAAACGTGTGCTCTCTCACAGAGAACCGCTGTGGTCGGTTAAGCGACGTTATGCAGTTGTAAAGGGGGAAAAGGTGGAACCGCGCAGCTCCAGGTTAAAGCCCAGCCGCCACCCGGCCGGCCAGACAGCAGGCAGACACAGGCACCCAGCGCAGCGTGCGAGAAAGCGCATCCGCGCTGACAGAGGCCAAGAGCAGATCCGACGGGATTCACAGAAACACAAAGTCTCTTTAAAAACAAAAAAACTAACCCACAACTCTGACGATCCCGGCAGGTTCGTGAGTACGTGCATGTGTTTAAAATAAAGCGAGCACACTGGCCGGAGTTCAGAAACCAGCACTGCCTGCCAGCGATAACCCCGCACCCGGGCGCACGGGCGCGTCCGTGCCTCTGTAACTTTTTCAGGGAGCGCAGCCCCACGGCTGCCCGGGCGTCCCCTCGCAGGAGCGAGAGCCTGTCTG